CATTACAATTATGTTATTTTCAGATTAATTATGTAACTGTTTGGATTTAGATAGCTGTGACTGCACAATTATACCCTTTGATGGAGAAACACCATCCACCTTGAATCCGCTATTTATGGTCATTAGATGTGCAGTACACTCGCTATTAATGAGACGTGCAATTTCTGTTATTTTTAGTTAGTGATATGAAAAGCTATAGTGATGTTTGAATTATATTAAATTAATTTTATTTAATATTAAATGAGAATAAATTTTTAGTATTAAGAGTTTTTATAATAATTTTTATTTTATAATTTAATATAATTTAAATTATAAAATAAATTTTTTTAATAATAATTATTTTCTTCAACAAAATTTTTTACAACCTATCCTGAGGTAAAAATATTAGTTTTGGGTGTGAAAAGACTACACTGAGTCCTCTAAAGTATTCATGCTGATCGATGAGTCTAAAATTCAGGATTTCTGTATTAAAATGAATTTTGTCTTGAACCTCAAAAAAAAAAAAAAAGAGAGTAAATTTTGACTTGGTAATCCATATTTTAATAAATTCAAACATAAATTTATCAAATTAAAGCAAATTTCCCTTACTATCAAACTTATATTCTGTGATATTGGCTAATGAAATTTTGTCTTCCAAGAAAAAAAAAAATTAAAGCAAATTTAATTGGACAAATGACAATGCTTGGATAATAAACAAAAATAAAATAACTATCATGATCAAATATCAATATCAAAACTATTAATTACATTTGAATAATTAATTCAAACACTTTTACAAACTCCATTATCATATCATTGTTGTTTACGGTTCTCAAATATTTAACATATATATTCCCTTCACTTATTTTTAAGTCTTATTTGGCGGCCATGTAACTTTGACATATACTTCCCTCAAAAATTGAAATTACCATTGGCTTGTAAGGTCATTTTGTAAATTTTTCTTTCTATTTCCGTCATCACGAGACATTATTCAATAATTATAGTAATGATATATTAAAAATTTTGACCTTGTAGAAATTGGCTCTTAAATGTAATGGTTCATCTTCAAATTTTAAGTGTTTTTGTGCAGTTGATTGAGAGTTCGACTCTCACTAACAATTTAAAACTAAATCCCTTGTTTTCAGATTTCCCTATATTCAAAAATTATAGATGTTGATTTTGCTAGTGTTGTTCATGTTATTTATAGTTGAAACTAACATGTCAATGGCTTAATTTTCCTGTGCTGGTAATCTTTCCCATGGTTTATGGGAATTAGAATTAGGCACCATTATAGAGAGGCTAATGGAGTAGCGGACCTCCTCCTAGCCAAGCATGAAGCTTCCCCACACGGACTCCTCCTTTTGTATATTTGAGGATTCACCATTTTAGTTTTTGTACACTTCATTTCAGAGCGGTATTGAAGACTAAAACTCTAAATATAATATATAAGTTATAAGAAAACATTTAGCAGTGAATTTAACTACTGAAATTGTTCTCACACTATATAAATTGTAAAAGCACCTCCAACGTTGGGCTCCCCATGAGTCTTACCTGAACCAGTGAAACTCAATAGGGAAGAGGTTGCCCCATTGGCGGCAATCTCCTTTGGTTCTCCCACCATTTTATTTTTTAATTCTTTTTTTAAAAACTTTTTTTTGTCCTTTAATATTATGAATTTAGAGATGTGAGTTGAAAAAATAATTATATTAGTGTAATTTTTTTATTTCTCTTAAACTAATCATATTTTTAAAGTCTCTCTCTTTTATTGTAGATATTGTAATATTCTTTAATTTTATATTAATTCAAAGAATAATAATATAAAAATAAATTTTTTATATAATTTTTATATATTATTAAATAAATAGATATATTTAATATTATAAATTTTATATGAATAAAAAGAGTAAATTATTTAAATAATACATAAAGTTATATCAAAAAATAATATAGAAAAATTATGTATAAATTATTTTCCTAATTCAAAATCCCATCTATGTATCAAGAAAAAAATTTTACTTCTTCAAAAAATACATATATCCTTTTAAAATCACAAAATACAGTCTTCTTTGGTAGAAATGGGTACATCATACAGTATATATTAAAGGGCAATCTTAAATTTCCATTCGCCTTTTTTGCCAGTTTTATTACGTAATAAACTTTTAAAATAAAGCTATATCCAAAAAAAAAAAAAACTTTAAAATAAAGAGAGAAGATAACGTCAGACTCGACGGTCCCAATATTATAATATCAAAAGTCAAAAAAAAAAAAATCTACTGTATTTATTTATGGCAGAAGGTGCAATTCAGCCCCTCTACGTCCATCGTTGTGGCACATCAGCCCCTCTACCTAAAAGTAGAGCAAATCAGCCCCTCCACTTGACAAAACCCGCAAATCAGCCCTTCTGCTGACGATGACCTCATCAAATGTCATCTTTCCGTCCACATCCTTGTTATTCCGCAACCAAGAAATGGCTTGGTGCTGATATGGCATTGGGTGGGTGACGTGATCAATTTAAATTATAAAATTATTAAAGAGTCCTCATTTATTATTTTTTCTTTCATTCATCTTCTCTCTCCTTCTTTACAGTCTCTCTCTTCGTATTGCAGATTTACTTTTTTTTTTTCAATAGTTTAAATTGATATTTTTTCAGATAAATATAAATTTTAAAAAATTATTAAAAAAACCTTCAAAATATGAAAATATAAAAATTAAAAAAATTTCAAAATTAAAATAAAAACTTGTGGCTTTGTGGACATCAAGTAATTTGCTCATTAAGTTTCCATTTCCAATAACCCAAAATCTATCTCACTTTATTTTAAATAAAAA